CTCTCCTCTCTGGGGTCATTGTCCCTTGCCCTCTAATGTCCATTGTCATGCAATTGGTTTTATGCATTTTTTTTTTTTTTTTGCCCTGTTGGGCTGATTATTTCAGGAAGGAGCATTAATCTGGGACTTGCTACTCCATCTTGGCTGGAAGGGGAAGGTGTATATGTACTTTAAATATACTTTTTTGTTCAAATCATGGAATTGAAGGTTTCAATAATTCCAGTTTTGGAATCACCCACCACATATTCCATTTGCAAAGCCATTCCTTGCTGTCAAACCCATGAGGCAAAGCAGACTGTCTTTCTCAGAAGAAGTTGGATTTTGTTTTTCAATTTCAAATAAACGCGATTAATAGGCATACTACATCAACCTCACATTTTTGAATTTTAATTATTAGGTGGGGAATGTGCAGAATTGAGCCTGAGGGCCGCACCCTTCAAAATATCTCCTAGAAGCTCTGTAGGTATTGTCCTCACAAGGATTTCCTTAAGCAGTGCATTCTCAAGTAGACCTTTTTTTTTTTTTTTTTTTTTTTTTTTTTTTTTATAGAGGCATGCTTTATTTATTTGTTTGCTGGTTTGTTTGTTTGTTTTGTTTATACATGCACTGGGTACAGTCAGAAGCGCGGGAGGGTGGGAGAATTCACCAGAGCCAGAGCGGGGAGCAGAGCAGGCAGAAGGACCGAAGTACACTGCTGAGGGGAGCAGCGGGCGGCAGGAGAGGTCTGCGCGCCATGCGGGACCCTCCTCCGGTGGCCGGGGAGCAGCCGGGGATCGAGCCGGCGCCATAGAGGCCGCGGGCAGCTTCGCAACCCAGCGCTCAACCGCTGGGCCACCGGGGAGGCCCTCAAGTAGACCTTTTATTTATTTTTTATAAAGCAGACTGCAGGATTTAGAAGGGTGGGGGTCAGCTGGGGAAGGGGAGTGCAGGCAGATGCAAGACTCCTTCTTAGTCTGATCAATAGGAGAACACACAAAGACGGAAGCTCTGGAAATTGATTTCCTTCAAACTATCTGTTGTAGCTACTGCCTAGAAAATCTTCATGTCCCTGTAGGAATGCAAGCCCTAGTTGAAGGCCTTTGATGCCAACTGTTTGAAGTCATTGGAGCCATTACTGCTTCCTTCAATGTAATGGAAGGGATGGAAAAAGAAGCAGGCAGGAGAAGGGGAAAGTAAGTTGGGGACTTGATGCCTTGGAGGTGAGGAGATTTCTTTCTGATACTGCCAGTTTTCTTTACTGAAGAATGACTTTTTTTTTGTCTACTGAAAGTGTGGGTGTGAGGAGAGAATGATCAAGTATGAAATGGACATTGCAAAGAATGGAAACTAATAATTAGAATGGAAACTACAATAGCTAGACAGGGTCAAGGGGTCAGCTGAGGTTGGTGGTCATGAGCACAAAACAACATCCATCTGCCCAGTTACGTGATTTCCAGTAGCAACACTAAAGCTTTGATGTTAGTGAATTTGGTAAAATGCTGCTCTTTTCCCTATGTTGAGGTAGAAGGTGAATATTCACACAGAAGCCTCATAGTAATTATAAATTTATCAAGGTCCTTCCAGCATTCTCAGCACTCTATGACTTGGACAGCCAGACATTTACATAATGCGTAGTGGCTTTCTTTTGTTTGTCATCTTCCCAGCGAAGTGGGTGACAATTTCTTCTCTTAAGCATAAACACCCCCAGTCCTTGAGTTACAGTCATCCCTGTGAATAAGGGTGAGAGTAGCAAGGGTGAGGAATGACTGTTTTTCCTATCCACAGGTAAATGGGATCGTGACACAAAGCATGGGGTGCCAGAGAGCTAGCTGATCATTGCCCACATGTATTGTGAAATTCTGGGACAAAGGCACCATGAGGAGAGATTGGAAACTCTCAGGTGATGAGAGGTGACAACAGGTGATGACTATTAACCAATGTCTCCTCTCTCCTTATCCCTTTACCTGCCTCCCTGGCCCAGCATGCACAGGGAGAAGAGTGGAATGAACTGGAGGGGGTGAGGAAGTTTAGCTTATCTATTTCATGTGAGATGTCTCCTTCAGAATCGGGCTCCGCTGGGATATTGCCTGAATATCATGGTGTGGGATATGCCATGTGCCAGAAAAATCTAAGATTCTACCAGTCAAATCTATTTCTGTCTAATACCGTCTCCCTCGAAGTCCCCAAAGTGCCACAATCACAGAGGGATGTTTTTTTCCATAGTAGCAAACTACACCAAGTTATATTTAATAATATACAGTTCACATACCTATAATACTCTGAGGGTGAGGGCCTCCCCGGTGGCGCAGTGGTTGAGCGTTGGGTTGCGAAGCTGCCCGCGGCCTCTGCAGCGCTGGTTCGATCCCGGCTGCTCCCCGGCCACCGGAGGAGGATCCCATATGGCACGCAGACCTCTCCTGCCGCCCGCTGCTCCCTTCAGCAGTGTACTTCCGTCCTTCTGCCTGCTCTGGTCCCTGCTCTGCCTCTGGTGAATTCTCTCACCCTCCCGCGCCTCTGACTGTACCCAGTGCTTGTATAAATAAATAAATAAATCTTTAAAAAAAAAAAAAATACTCTGAGGGTGAGTTCAAGGATCTGTTAGCACAAATAAGAGAAATGACCTGAAGACCCAAATGAATGTCAATGTAATTCTCTCTCAAAGTGTCTCAGTGGGAAGAAACCATTTCTTAGGTTTTCCAGAACAAACATGGATGCTTTAACTGGTTTTCCCCTGCTTTCAAAGCATGCTTCTAAGGCTCTCCAAGGCCACACACTCATTGTAACCACCCATACTAACAATAAAGTGAATAGTTCTGAGATGCAAAGGAAATTGAAAATGTTTTAATCCCACTCTCCAAAACTGGGGCTACAGAGGTGGGCTGGATTATCCACTGATGTGGGCTGGGCCACCCCGCGCATGAGGTGATGTTTTAGTTTACCTCTAGTCCTTCAATTTGCTTCTAGCCCTCTGGGGCCAGCCGTATAAAGAACAAATCCAGTTCGTACCTCAGCTGCTCTGGCACGTCTCTCTTCCTGCAGAGTTGCGTAGCCCTGGCCTGTAAGAGTGGGGCCCAGAAATCCCAGAGTAGGGCCCTCGGCTGTGCCTGAATTCCCCCACCCCCATCCCTCTGTACTCAAACATTTGTTTTCAGGCAAAGTTTTTGAAGCTCCGGTGCTTGACACAATGTCCCTTTGCAAGACATATAAGAGGGCACAGAGGAACAGGTTCTTTTTGGCCCTGCCATAACATGGAACAGAAGGGCCTCTGGGACTGGCCAAGAAGCAACTCATATGCTGGACTCTCTTTTGAGTCAAGAACAGACTGCTACTTATGCTCAGGCGGAAGGGCTCACCTCATCCCTCTGACTCATTGTCCCAGACGAGACCAGAGCTCTCTTGGCTTGGCTGTGTGACAACAGAGGAACACAGTCCACGCTGGGAGAAGCCAGGACCCTGAGGAACAGCCGGAGGCCCGGGCAGCTGAATTCCACTTGGCCAGGAAGAGAGAAAAGTTGCTTCAGACAGATTCACAGGGGGGGGCGAGGGGAGGGGAGGAGGGGAGATCCAACTTAGGTCCTAGTCACTCCCCTCTCCTCCCCAGTGTCAGGAGTCACATGGTTTAATCAGCAACTTATCCTGTCACTCCTGCCATGGTCTTCTGCCTCTTCCACGCTCCTGTGTCTCATTTGGGTTTCTGCCCCATTTTTCATGGGCTAATTGGGGTGGGAGTGAGGGCTCGACTGTATAGGGAAAAAGCAAAACAAAACCCCTGGGTTTGCCTCCAGTTCTGCCTCAGACTGGCTCTAGAAAAATCCCCTCCCTTTGTGATATTCATCTGCAAAACAGCTTTTTCATACCACATTCTATGGAGATGCCTGGAATTTGAGGGTTCTGTGGAGACCCTAAGGAGCTGCACTAGAAAGGGAAACTGAGCTGCTCTAAACTCCCCCAGCCAGCACCTACCAAAGGAGGTGCTCTGCTTTTCAAAATCTGTTTTATATAGTGTGTTGCCACACAAGGATTCTTTGGAGAAAGGGTCCTGAGGCCACACAGTTTGAAAACTGCCAGAATGGATGATGGTTTGAGATACTTGGACTTCTGAAACCCAGCTCAAGTCATTCCTCCTCCAGGAAGCCTTCCTGGTTATCAAGTCCCAGATATGTGAGCTCCAGCAATACTGACGACTCTCAATACTGACCGGCATCCGGCTCTCAGCACACACTGCATGGTGCCATTGATGACTGATGCCTGCAGGTATGTATGAGCTGTTTGCCCAGCTAGAGGGTGAGTTCCTTGAAGACAGGTGGTCCATGTTCCTCTCGTGCTTCTGTTCTCTAGTGCCATATGCACAGCAGATAGTCAGTAAACTTGTGGATGCTCCAAGGGTCCCCTATTCCCCATTGGATAAAACCTTCCATGGAGACTCTGCTTGGGGGAGGGCGAATGAGTCTTTGGTCTGCTGAGTACTCCAGGAAAGACCCATTGTCAGGGCAGGACAAGTCCCCGTGACTTGGGGAACAGCTTAAGACCCACACTCCTCAAAAGGGCCTCAGGCCCTAATTGGCCCGAACCCCTGCCTTCACTGAACTCTGGCCAACCTCTACTGCCTTCAGTTCCTCTCCTGGCATAGGTTGTCCATAGCCTGTGGCCATGCTTGACCTTCAACCTGGGAATCAGTCCCAGCCCCACCAGACTTCCCCATGGATGGTATGTGAATCAGCTGGATCTGGAGGGCAGCACGAAGGAACGCCAGGGTTTGCTCAGAGTAGCTCTCTCTGGAGCTGGAGGCCTAACAGGAGGAGGCAGGGGACTTTCCTCAGGCACCTGAGAAGGCAGGTTGCAGGAGAATGCAGAGGTGAAAGCTCAAGACCTCTACAGGCCATGTCCTCTAGGCAGGTAGCCGGGAGGAGGTGTGAGATAGAAATCCTGCTCTGCTATGTGCAAGCTATGTGACTTTGCGCAAGTCACTTAATCTTCACTTACTCTCAACTCTTTTGCCTATAAATTGGGGGCAAAAGCACCTGGCCAGCTACAGGCTATCCCACAAGGAAGTAGTGAGATTCGAAGGAGATAATGTGTATGGAAGGGTCCTGTAAACTAAAAGATGCAGGGAGGTAAAAGGTTCTTATTGTTTGTGAATGAGGAGAGCACCAGAGCCTGCTTCCTACAAGGCCCTATCCTGCAATTTGGGGATGCTCCGAGGCTGACCATCCCTTCTTCTGCTTCACTCCCAGCAACCATTCTGCCTGCCCTTGAGTTCCTGGTCAGACTGAAGAGTGTGAGGGGGGCAGGGCAGCTCAGGACGGGGGAACAGGCCCAATTCTGACCCACAGACATTCCCTAAAGAGAAATGTTCTGATAAGAGCCCCTGAAGGGTGTGAGGCCCAGGAGGCTGCTGAGATTCCTGGGGGGCTCTGGTGGTTTGTGAGGTATCCTGGCAGGGTCCCAAGGACTGGGGCCCTCAGTTCGACTGAGCTTCTTGTCACTTGGGGTGGGGGCCAGGTCAGCCTCTTCTGATGCCTGGAGCTACACATGTGGGCTCTCCCCTTCCAGAAGTGGGTTCTGGTTGGCACTGTAGGGGTTGAGGAGCCCTCAGCAGGTCACATGGAGAGTTACCTTCCTCACTAAATCCTCCAGATATAGACAGTAAGTAGCAGCCTGCATTGAGGCTAGAACATCTGGCAGGGTTTAAAATCCACAGCTGAAGAGTGAGACCCTGCCATGCTGTTATGGGGAAACAGGAGCCAGCCTGGCACTGCACCTGCCATGTCACCCATGACGGGCTTCTGCGCCGAGGTCTGGCCTCCCTGGCCTTCCTCAGCTACTGTAGCCTGAAGTGTGGGTGCTGGGCCTGCGCAGCCAAACATCTGGTAGATCTGGTTGACTGTTGGGCAGCACCACGGGGCTGCCATCTGCCGGCCCCCCACGGCCCTTCCAGGATGAGCTGCTCTGGTGGGAGGCAGGCAGTGATGGATCATACACGGTCTCCTTCAGCGCCAGCCACAGGGTGTCCCGCTTCCCATTCAGCAGGCCGCGCTCAGGTACAGTTTGCTCAGTTTCGTCCAGGTCCTCTGGGGAGGCACCCATGGAATCCGGCACACGGGCACTGGGCTCAGAAGTGCTCAGGCAGGTTTCATCGGAGACGCTGAGCCCTTCCAGGGTGCTGGCAGAGGAGCAGAGGCATTCAGGAGGCACTGAAGCCTTGGGCTTGGGGGAGTTGGCTGGGGCTTCAGGTGAGGCCTGTATGGGCTCAGCCTTCTGCCCTTGGGAGTCCTGCCTGGCCCGGGTTTTGGGGCTGGGGCCAGCCTGCTTATAGGGCGAGGAGGTCTGCAGGGCTGGGCACTGGCTGAAGACTGCCTGGTGGTCCAGGAACAGCTCTCTTGGGGAGGCAGGGGCCAGTGGAGGCCGGGAGCAGTAGGGGCCGTCATGGAGCTGCAGATCCTCAGAGAGCACAGAGGGCCGGTGGGACAGCTTGCTGGTGGCTGTGCTGGTGTCAAAGCTGGGGCTCCGGCGCCGTGCCAGGGGCTGTAGCTCATATTGCTCTGAGCAGGACCCAGGCACCCCTCCCCCCGGCCCTGGTCGTGGGCGGCCTACCTTCTCCCCACTGGGCTCCCTGTTTCCAGCATCCCACGGTAGGTGGGCACAAGGCCAGAGGATTTGCCCACAGTTCTTCTCTGGCCCAAAGAAGCAGCATAGAGACTGGAAGAAGAAGCTGGCGAAGCCGCAGCTGACACACTTGACCATCATGAGGACGATGCCCAGCTTGCGATACAGCAGCACGGTGGCAGGCAGCATGAGCACGCCAGCCGCAAATAGCGCTGCAGCCGCCACCGCCGTAGCGCAACTGGTTTGGCGCAGCGAGAAGGCCACACGACTCAGGCGGTCGGGGTGTGGGCACAGGTGATAGGAGATGCAGTAGTTGACAGTGAAGTCCACGGAGAGTCCCACCGAGGCAGAGAGAAAGAGGGCCTCGGCAGTGTTGAGCTGCCATTCCAGGAGCACCAGGAGCCCCACTGTGAGCAGCACGGTGCCTGCCACAGCTGCCACGGAGAACAGGCTCAGTGGGACGTTCCAAGTGCCCAGTAAGAGTGTGGCAAAGGCCAACGCCAGAGCCAGGCCCAGCACCACAGCAGGTTCTGTGCTCAGGCTGTGCTGCAGGCTGTAAAGCTCCAGTTTGCTGGTGAACCAACCTCTGCGGAGGCCCAGAGGGGCCCGCCCCAGCTCTGCCGCCAGCCAGTGGCTGATCTCAGTGTAGAAGTGGTGGGCCTGGCTGTAGTCAGGACTGTACAGGAAGCTGGTCTGGAATTGTAGGACCAGGGCAGCCAGGTTGCCCTGGGTATTGAAGCGGGGTCCCACGTCACGGGTGCTATCTGGGCCTTGTTCCAGTGCCATCATCTTGAGGCAATGCAGGAAGAGCTGGGGTGCCCAGGGGAAGTCCGAGTGCCTACAGCAGAGGCCTGGCCCTAGGCGGGCACAACCTGGGCTCTCCATCCAGAGCTGGAGGGCCTCCACGAAGCATAGTGTGGGCCAACCCTCCGGCTGGACGCCAAAGAAGCTCTGATTACGGGCTCCGTGGCAGAGGGCCAACAGCCAGCGCTGCGCCTCGGGACTGCTGGCTGAGAAGGCAGGGTCACTCACTAGGGAGGTGTTGCTGCGAGGATCCAGGGGGTCACCAGTGTCCACGGGCAGGATGCCCCACACCAAAACCACAGGCATATGGCTGCCCTCGCCCTGAGGCAGACGCTCGAACAGGAACTGCTGGCGGTACTCTGCATCGAAGCGCTCGAAGGGGTGGCTGGGCCTGAAGACCTGGCCGCTGCGCGGGGGCAGCGTGGGCAGCCGGAGGCGGGGGCTGACGCCCGCGATGTAGGCGCCCCCTGCAGCCAGTGCCGCGAACCAGCAGATCCAGATGTAGCGGAACTTGATGACGCCGCAGGGCAGCAGGCGCTGGAAGAGCAGGCGGGAGGTGCTGGCAGCCGCCCTGCGGAGGCTGCGGAGCCGCCGGTGCAGCGCCAGCGCCAGCCGCCGGGGCGCGCTGCCCCCCCAAGCGCCCTGCACCCCGGGCGCGCAGCCTCGCGCCAGGTAGCGCTCGTGGAGCACGGCGGAGGAGGGCAGCCAGGCCAGCGTGAGCGCCAAGTGCGCCAGCACAGACGTGCCCATGTAGAGGGCGAAGCAGCGCACGGCTGGCAGGCGGCTCAGGTAGCTGGCGTAGAAAGCCGCCCCCGTGGTGAGGCCGGACACCAGCAGCAGGTAGCCAAAATGGTGCATGGTGCGGCCCACGCGCTGCTCCAGGCCCCCGGAGGGCAGCTGGCTCTTGCTGAGGCGCCACAGATCGAAAAAGATGAGCGTGTGGTTGGCGCAGACGCTGCTGAGCAGGACAAGGGCTGCCAGATTGACAAAGGGGAAGTAGGCCATGCGGAAAGCCACGTGGTAAAGAAAGAAGGCAACCAGCAGGGAGCCCAGCACCCCCAGCAGCACCATGAGCGTGAGGAAGAGTGACCGCAAGTAGAGGGCAATGCTGAGGAAGATGGCAGCCAGGGCCAGCAAGGGGTAGACCGTGTCCTGGGCTAGGTAGTGCTTCAGCAGCTCCTGCTTGAGGCCCAGGTCCATGCCCGTGATGGATGTGTAGTTGTCAGACAGCCCCCAAGGGGCCGCCAAGCGGTCCAGGTAGATGCCCATCATGGAGGCACCCTTTGGGGTGGGCAGGAAGAGCAGGCTGTACTTGAGGGAGGGTACCTGGTAGTCAGCAGTCTGGGGACTCAGAAAGTCCCGGTCAAGCAGAAAGTGAAGGAGCTGGTAGACGGCGCTACTCCGAGAGCACTTGATGGGGACCTGGGCACAGCTTGGAGGCTTGTCTTGCCCAGGTCCTAGACAAGAGGGCACCAGGGCACCACGGTGGTAGTAGAGGGCACAGGCCCGAAGCAGGGCGAGTGTGCGGGCTGCATCTGCTTGGGTGGTCTCCAGGCAGGAGGAGCGGTTGGAGAGCACGGCCACATAGTTGCCCAGGGACCAGCTGGGGCAGCACTCGTTGGCTGCTGTACGTTGGCACAGCACCCCAAAGTGGGCATGGGAGCGGATCTGTAAGGCACACACAGAAGGAGAGAGCTCAGGGGCAGCCCAGGGGTGCAGATTGCCCAGATGTCTGAGTTCCTCTCACCTTTCGAGTTGCAGGGCAGAGGCAGATATTTTGACAGCGCGGCAGAACTGGCTTGTCTAAGAGCTGCCTTTGGTTCCTGGCTTGGGTGCCAGCAGCTACATCTTGACTCCATCAAAGAGGAAACTCAGGGATGCTTCCCAAGGCCTCAGCCTAAGAGGTCCTGACTTAAGGGTCCTAGAGCACACCCCAATTCTGCACTGTCTCAACCAGCAGTGGGAGTGGAGGCGGCAGCCATACGGGTCCAGGAACTTGTGGGGAAAGTGGAAGCCAGGACTGGGGTCACTGCCAAACCCTAACCACCTATGTCTGTTCACTGGGCTGCTTAAACCCTCGGAAGGAGAGGACAGTTTCATGACTCCTGTTCTCCCCTCCTGTTGCTGACACCATAGCAGCTGGGGTAGCGCAGAGGGCACTGGAATGGGAATCAGAGTCACCACATGGCTGTATGGCCTTGGACCTGAGATTATGGTGACAATGGTAACATTGATCGAGAAATGACTCTTTCCAGTCATCATGCTCTGTTTTTTAGAAATTCTGTTTTTAATTGTCACAACATCCCAATGAGGAAAGTATCATCATTATCCCCATTTTATATATACAAAGACCAAGGCACTGACAGGTTAAGAAAGGTGCCTGAAGTCACACAGCTCGGGCGCATGAGAGCTGGTCTGGAATTCAGGCATCTGACTCCACAGCACATACCCTTTGATACTTGGAACACCCTTGTGTGAAGTGAGCAGCTGGGGCTGCTTTGTGGCATCCACAGTGCTTTTAGCAGCAAACCTGTCTTCAGATGCTATTGTATGTGATTCGTCAGTAAGCACGAGTGCACTGGCTTCATAGGGTTTTGGGGGCCTTGGACCAGGACCTCCTCAATAGCTTTTGAGGTTCTTTTTTCAGGACCTTTTGAAAATCCTTGGGCTTTCTGCCAATACCTGTGTCTTGGCTGATCTGCAAATGGCTGGCTCTTCTTTCCCCACCCCAACTGAGGGCTTCTTAGGTAGGTCAGAATTATTCCCTAAGCAGGGAATGCTCTCCCCTGTCCACCCTGCAGCCCTAGCTCAGCTGCATTTCCTTGGGATCAGTTCCGGCTATCCCTGGCTCACTGCCTGCCCCCCCAGACCCTGACACCCACCAGCCAGCTCACCTGGTCCTGTTCCATGCGGCACATGGAGTGGATGGCGTGCAGGTTCCACAGGCTGCCGGCTGAGGTGGACATGAACACCAGCTGTGCATAGCTCTTCTCTGCAACACACCCCCAGAGCTCAGCCCTTTGGCCCCGGGTACTGGGCTCACCAAAGGGAAGATGCTAACCCAGGGCCAAGGTTCAGCTTCTCTGGAGCCCGAAATCTGTGCTTGGCTGCCTGAACCTGGGCCGGCATCCCTCCCCTGTGCTCCCACCCAGCTTGGCCCAACCTGACTGGAGCACCTGCCACAGGCACCATCATCCAGCTGTAAACCACCTTCTATGGCTTCAACATAGCCAGCTAGCCACCTTCTCTTTCTGCCTGTCCAAATTTGTTCTGTGTGTTCTAGGAGTGGGTCAGGAACTGGCTGGGCTTCCACTCACCAGGAGGGCCACAGAAGAAGTTCTCCTGCCCTCTGTCTTCCAGGGGCTCCACCATTCTCCGAGGCCGGATCACACCCTCCTGGGCACTGCTCCAGGGTACGGGGTTCACAGTGGTGTGGGGGTTTGAGCTGAGGTAGAGAGATGTGTGCCAGGCACCATCAAGGGGTGGAGGGCTTAGGGGCCACAACATGTTCAGGGGAAACACAGCAAGCCCTTCTGACCCACCTTTGGGGAGGTGACCTCATGTCCCCGTCTGAAGACCTCATTCCTCCCCCCTTTTCCCCATCAGTGGAAAGATGGATCCCCGTTACCTGTTCAACTCGAGATCTGGGGAAAGGGACAGCAGCTTTCTGGGGCCAGTGAGGGCCTGCAGTGCTCTCCAGACCACTAACTTGCGTCCAATGTCCGTGTCCCGTGGCTCAAAGCCCTGCAGGGAGAGGGCAGAGAAGAGCAGACAGACAGGGAGCGTCCCCCCGGCCCTTCTCACGCTTGCCCCTTGGGCTCCTGGAGCAGGAGGGCCAGCCCACCTGTCTAGTTTGTTGCATGAGGGTATCAACTCTATCCTACTCTCTGGAGACTGAGAGCCCACCGTTGCCATCCCACCCTGGCTCGGTCTGCTCCAACTTTCTGCCCCAGACCGAGCACAGTTGCCCATATGGGCCTGGGGTTCCCCTCTCCATCCCTCTCTACCCTTGGCCCCTCACCAGCAAGGGCTTGGAGAAGTCGGGCAGCTGGCTCCCCAAGAGTCCAGCCAGGGTGCAGAGGAGGATGACAGCCAGACACAGGAGCAGCGTGGCCACTGGCCACTCGGCAATCAGCTGGGAATAGCTGGGAAAGAGGAAGAGAACCCACCTGATTTGGTGTTGGGGGGTGACAGGGGGTCGCTGAGCTTAGGAGTCACCAATAGGGATGGTGGGACTAAACAGGGCACCAGCCTGGTCACCCCTGGGGTTCCAGAGAATGCCCAGTCTCACCTTTTTGGCATCCGAAAGGCCCGTTCCTGTCTGGGGAAGAAAAGAGACACTTGCTTGTCAAAGTCCTCTTGGGGGTGGGGAGAGAGAGAAGGTGGTAAGAATTCTTTTAGGCTTTCCAGCTCCTAAGCGCCACCCTTACTTCCTCCTCCGTTCTGGCTGCCTCTTCCAGCAGAGGCAGAGGACATCCGGGCTGCTTTCTGATGAAGGATTGCAGAGCCCTGGATGGCAGGCCTCACTTTTAAGCTCTGTCCCACCTCCTAGCGGCCACTGGCAGGCTGCTGGGCCCTCCTTACCTGACGCTGACCACATGGTGCTGCACAGATGGTGGCTTCCAGGCCCCATCACGCTGTGAGGGGGCTGGGGAAGGACTGAGGCTGGAGCCATGGGAGCACAGAGCTGCCCGGTCCCCAAGTCCTGGGAGGGAACTGCCTCCCCGGTATTCTTGTGGTGCCCGGGGATAGGTGAAGTTGGTAGGGGCCAAGGGGCTGGAAGGGCCCACAGGCTGGAGGGTGGAAGTTGCTGGTGGGGGTCCTGAAGAACTGGATGGGTCCTCAAGGGGGCAGCTGTGGAGGGAGCAGCTTTTCTCTGGGCTGGCCTCAGGTACCACGGCCTTTTTTTGAGACCTGGGGAGAGAGGAGGCAGGGAAGACGGGGGTGAGGATGATGGTGGGCCACCCATGCCCTGGCATTGTTCAGTGAGCAGAGACAGGGAGAAGGGAGCTCAAGGGGGTTCTAGTATTAGTCCCAGGGGAGAGGCGAGTTGGGTGGGCCCTCAGGGGCTAACCTTCTTCTAGGGGACCATTTTCTCATTCACTTAACTGTCCATACACCTTATGTGCTTTTACATATATGATCTTGTCTACTCCTCAACAGTAAGCACTTTCCTTATTTTATAGACATGAAAACTGAGGTTTGGCGAGACGTGAACGCACCCAGAGTAGGTGGGCAATATGCTGTAAGAGAGGAAACCACAGAGGGATGGACAACCCTACAGGAGGCCCAGCTTTGACGAGGTTGGGAGAGTCATGAAAAGGTTGGCAGAAGCAGCTGCTGCCTTTACACCATCCTTGGACCAAGAGGCAGGAGATTTGCTTAGCAAGTGTGTGCACAATTGGGAGAGGGCGTTGGGACCCCAAGGAACTTGCCCAGGGAGAGTCTGAAATAAGCCTCTTTTTTTCAGAATGACTCATGAGGGCCTCCCTGGTGGTGCAGGGGTTAAAGACAGCGCTATCAAACAAGTGGCAGCCACTGCAGCATGAGTTCGATCCCCAGCAGGCCAGGGAGCTACCCACATGGCGCAGCAGACCTCTCCTGTCTCTCCCGCTGCTCCCCTCAGCAGTGTATTTCAGTAGATCCTCCTGTTCTGCTCCCCACTCTCTGGTGAATCCTCTCATCCCCCACCCCTCTAGCCTGTACCCCATTTCTTGTATGCATAAACAAAATAAATCTTTTTTTTTAAATGAAATAAATCTTAAAAAACAAACAAAATGACTCATGAGGGTGCCTGTCTTTTTTTCCCCCCAGTTCCTCTACTTGGTCTCTGCATGGGCCCAGCCTCACTCTTTGGGCGTAGGGGGAGGTGGAGTCTCACCCCAGTGGCAGGATTGCCAGACCAAAGATAGGAGAAGATGGTCACAGAACAGAGTGCCTGAGGGCCGTGGGGGTTCCCAGAGGGGTTGTGGGCAGGGCAGCCTTGGCAGAGTCTGTCTCCTTCCTCCCATCTGCCTGGCTTGTCTGGCCTGCCAGAGCTGGCATAGCTGCCATGGGAGAGCCAGACCTACGCTGAGCCAACCCTGGCTGCTGCACTGCTGAAGGGGCTGTGGGCCAGAGTCCCTGCTATGGTGGCAAGTATAGTTGCCCATGGACGCTGGGTTCTGCCCAGAGACCAAGTAGAGGAATTGGAAAAAGTAAGGCAAGCTCTTCCTCTTCCTCCCAGAAGGCTGTCTGGATGGCACAGCAATCTGGGGGTTAATGCCCCTCATGCTGAGAGTAAAATGGGGGGTAGTGGGGGTGGGCTCCAGGCTCCAACATGCTTTAGATCTGGGGACTTGGGAAAGTCACAGTTCTTGGAGTGTTGGCATCCTGGTCTGTTGAGTGAGGGTATGGTGATAATGCCCCCCACCCCCTGCAGTTTGGGCATGAGAATGAACTGATGTGACATATGTGAGGTGCCTGGCTTGGAGCCTGGTGTGTGGAAGACACATTTGCTTTCCTGTCCCTTCCCACACTCAGTGCTGCAGGGAGTAGGTAACTTAAGAGGCATATTTATACTCACACTTCGACCTCTTCAGGCAACTCAGGTAATATATTTCCATTTTAGAACTTCTCACACCTTGAGAATCTCACTACATACACAATTATACTTTCCTCTTATTGAAAAGCTGCAGCAGAATTTAATTTCATGATTTAAATCAATGATACTTATTTTTTTTTACTCACTCAATGCTTGGAAAAATAAAAAAATGATCAAGGTTGTTTTAAATCAAGTCTTTAGTGAACACAAAGTTAATAACATAAGCAACCAGTGTCCTGGCAGATAAAAGATCCTATGGGACCATCACCTGGGCCACAGGGAAGCTAGGTAAGTGCGGACATCTTCTTTAATACTTTTATTCTGTGGGTATTTTTAGGGTTTCTGCCATTTGCTGAGCACTGTACTTGGTCTGAGTTGGGTCCTAAAGGCATGAAGATTCTCCATTAGTCTTGATCTCCCTCTTTAGGACAGGACTTGCCTTTGAGGTTGAGGCAGCTGGGCTACCTAAGCCAGCTGCGCATGGCCTAAAAGCACTCCCTGAGCATTGACTTGTCCTAGGAGTCAGACTTCCACTCGGAGGGAGTGTCCGCTTCCTTTTCATTAAGGGCAGCCCAAGCTCTGGGGATGCATGTTGCTGAGACAGGGAGCACTCTCCCTTAACTAGTCTGCTAAAGCTCACAAGTGCACCCTTCCTGAAGTGGCTCCCGTGCAAGTGGGATTCCAGTCTTCACACCCCGTTGGGGTCTCCCTAGTCCCAGGTTCTCCCTTCCACCCCTGTCCTGGGTCCTGGGGTCAGCTGTTCCCAAACCTCACTGTGCCCACCCTTGTCAATGGGGAAGGAATTGAAACTCTCCTCATTGCCACAGCTGTTGAGACCCATACCTTCCCTGCTTTCTCAGGATACTTACTGAGTTAAACACCCTAAGCCTCATGTGCATTAATTGTGAGCCTGGGCCCCTAGGCACATAACCATGTGCGATCTATGTGATCTCACACAGTGGCCAGGGCAGATGGGGGGAGCAGTTCATGCACCTAGAAAAGTAAAAAGGTAATTTTAAAAACACAAAAGGTGAGCTATTTCAAATTGCTCTATAACCCATGCATTCGTAACAGCTCTGTGGACGTGTGTATCAGTGCTGTCTTATTCATTGTGTGTCTATCTCCAGTGTGCTGCTTAGATCAGCAGGAGTAGATTTGTGCTGCTTGGGCTGAACTGAATCGAGTCCCTTTGCCTGTGCAGGGTCTCTGGAGAAATGTAGAGAGGATCCAGAAGTCTCAGGGAATTTCTGGAAGACAGCAAGTGGTTTCTGTGCCCAAGACTGACCCTCCTGTTCAGGAGAAGAGAGCTGACCAGATAGGGCTGACCCTTGGCAAAATATCCAAAGCAGCAAACAACTCTCCATTTCCTTCTAAGGATGCTTCTGGCCCCAGGCCCCTATCCTGGCCCTTCACTGTCCCTGCCCTGTCCATCCCCAACTCTTTGGTGAGGCCATAGTCCCAGGCAGTCCCCTGGTCCGGGGAACACTTCTATCCTCTGAAGCATCTTCCTTGAAAAAAAAAAATCTCTGTGACTTTTAATCTGAAAGATGGCTAAATCTATCTAGGCTCTGTGTTAACCATAGAGGGAAGAAAATATTTCTCTCTGCTTGTGGGGCCTCCTCTTTACTCTGAGGTAGAAAGGTATATTTTAATTGGGGCAGTCTGGAGCAATGTGTCCACCTTTGCCTTTCCCTCCCTCCACCCCATGCCTCTTATTTCAGTCCAGGCAGGAGAGAAAGGCAGTGTCATGTAAGGGGAGGGAGAATGGGGGCGGCAGACAAGGCAGGGCACAGAAATTACGCCATATTGCTACCTGGTTGGGCTGTTCCCTCATAAGTATGGTGGAGGCAGGGAGAGGAGAGGCAGAGACCTGGACCCTAGCAGGAAGGTGTCCTCCTGTCCCAGCAGTCTGTGGCTCCTTCCGGGACTATATTGACCACGGACTGACCCTCAGAACCTGCCCACCCGAGCGCCTCCAGCGAGTGCAGGTAGTTGCCACTCGCGGGACTCAGCCCACAAGTGCGCAGCCAGCCATGGGAGACAGGCTGGAGACTGACAGTGACGGACAAAGGCAGTTCCTGGTGTGGCGACCTGGTGCCTGTCCTCCCAGGACACACACCTTGGAGAGTCTTCTGCCCGCGACACACACGCGCCCTCAGCACACTGGCACGCTGGAAACGCGGGCTGAGGCTGCTGCGGGCCTGGGGCTGACTGGGAAGACGCAGGGGCAGGGCCTAGAGGGAGGGGCTCGGGAGGCCGGGGCCGTGGGGGAGGGGTGGGAACCCGGGGCCTTAGGGTTAAGGTAGAAATAGTGGGTGGGGCAGGTCTCTGGGGCAGTGAGGCTGTTGGGGGTTCCCAGTAAGGGGTACCTGGGAGAAAGAAAATTGATTCTGCAGGGTGAGGGCGTGGCCAGTGGAGCTGGGAGCGTGGAGGCTCGGGCGGGGACTCTGGGAGGGGCTGGGGAATCAATGGGAAAACATATGGCGGCTACTGGGGCTACCTGGGGCGGGGGTGCTGGGAGGTCCAGGAGCTGGGTGTGAGGAGCGTTCCTCCCTACCTGTCCGGGTTGCTGCCGTCTGGGGCCGCGGGCTCCCCCTCGGGCCGCTGCTCCCCTTCCGGACCCCGGCCGGGAGCCGGACCGCCGCCGCCGGGGCTGCCGCTGGCAGCGTCCATGCCCGTGGGCGGCGCCGCTGTCCGGGCGCTGGTGCTGAAGCGGCAGAGGCGGCAGCGGCGGCTGCTCCTGCGCATGCGCCAGTGCCGGGCGGGCCGTCGCTGGGCGGGGCCGGCGAGGAGCCCAGCCAATGGGCGCGGCGCCGATGGGCGGGGCCTGGCTTCCCGCGGCGCCGCTGCACGGCCGGGGAGGTTCGCGGTGGCTCAGACCCCTGGGCACGGGGGCGCGGTCCCCCTGCCCCGGATCCGAGGCTGCTGTTAGGGCGGGCAGGGGACCGGCGCTCGCGCACCGGCCTTTCGGGGGGCAGCGCTGTTCTCGCAAGGAAGCAGGAAGCGTGACCCAACGCGCGTGCAGAGCCTCACAACTTGCACCAGACTCCTCGGCCAGATGGGGGGACAGCTCCGCGCCGCTCTCCACCGCTGGGGACGCCGAGGGGGTGGGGAAGTCGGGCCACTTTAGCCCCACGTTTCTCTCGGCTCTGCTCAGAGCCCCCTTCTGCCCAGCGGAGCTCAGCGCCTGCTCACACTGGGTCTTTCTTCAGGTTCATCGGGACCTCCACCTGGACCTGGGTCGTGGAGCCCCGATTCTGTTATCAAGTGTGGGGTGCGGGGGAGAGGAGAGGGAGCTGTGACCCCAGATTCCTTATAGTCACCCCACTTCAGCTTGGGAGGTGCCCAAATAGCCCCTCTAGGGAACTTGCTAACTCGCCCATGAGGAGACGGCTGTGAGGCAGGGAGGTGGACAGGCCTGACTGGAGGACTGTGGCAGAACTAGAATAAATATGGGCAGAGCGAGAAACCTGGCAGTTGGTGAGGAAAGGTTCCCAAGTGTGGGCAGAAGGGGGTTGGCAGCAAGGAGGCTGGGTTAATGTGCAGAGAGTGGCTGAAAAATGGGGGTAGGGAGGGAGTCAGGGCCCAGGAGGCTTTAGAGCACAGGCATCTCTAAAAATGTGTGCAAATGTTACGCTGAGCCAGACATAGGTCAGTAGAGGATGGGAATGAGAGAATCTAGAGGTGTAGAAGTGATGGACCTTACCTAAGCAGTTTATGGTTTGGTTGGCGAGATAAAAAGGCCAGCCTGTAAACTGGCACTGGTCCAGGTGTGATCAGGCCAATGTAATAGTTGATAAAAGTTGAGGAGAGGGAAGTGTGCAAAGAGAGAGGCTCTCTCCCTTCCAGTGAGCCTTAGGGAAGGCTCCAGGGAGATGGTAGAGACTCAGCTGGCTTCTGGAAGGAAGGCGCTCCTGACCTGGGGGTGGTGCCAGGGTGTGTGGAACTATGCGAAGTTGAGGAAACTGGGAGATTTTAAGTATTTTCAGGGAATGGTGAGAAAGACATCTGGACAGCAGGGATGCAAGGTGAGGCAGCATGCGGCATACAAAATAGAACTTTGAAGGCCCACAGGAGCGTATGTGCTGGGGGAGAGGTGATGAGGCCACAGTGGCAGCACTTTGATGGCCTGGAGCAAAAGTGCAAGGGAAAGGAGTTATGACCTTATATGACCATATGTTGTTGGCATCGCGGAGCCACGTTTCTGAGGATGCCTGGCTGCTGCCCCATTTTCACAACTAGGGAACTCAGAGACCACTGGGCCCCCGAGTGCCAGGTTGGATGTGAAGGAAGATGCTCTTTTAAGGGTAGCGTATGGCCTCCAGCAGACTGTTTTATTAGGAAAGATGATTTTTTTTTTTTTTTTGTGGGACCCTCACCGGCGGCTGGGGAACGAACCGGCGCTGAAGAGGCTGCGGGCAGCCTCGCAGCCCAGTGCTCAACCGCTGAGCCAGCAGGGGAGGCCCAGGAAAGATGATTTTGATTCAGACAATTTTGTCAGGTCAACAGGGGAACCCACTCGGGCTCCTCATTCTTGTGTCCTATTTCTTTTGCTTCCTCAGTGAAGTGGACCAGGGGGCCGCCCACAGGGGTGAGCCCTTGGGGATAGCTCCTCCAGGGACAGTATCCAAGACTGTGGTCAAAGGGGCACCTACAGTGACCTGGAGGGTGGTCTTCGTGGCCAGGGGGTGCCCTCCCTCCTGGTAGTACCCTTGTAGAAAACCAAATGAATAACATCAGAGTCAGAACTCAGTGTCAATCATACCCAACCCCAACCCGCCCTGCCCCGACTACCATAGAGGACTCGGGATTTTGGGGCACTAGCAGACACCGTGGTGGGGGCTGGAGGCAGGGGTCCAAGTGACTGGCTGCTCCCAGCGCTGTGTCTTTTCCCTTGACAAAGCCAGAGCACTGAGAAAAGGGGAGGGGCCTTGGTTTAATGGGTTCTAGTCCCTGAGCTGACAAATGACTCCCACTCCCGGAGCCTCTGTTTATCTGTAACTAACGCAGACTTATCTCATCGGCTCCCTTTTCTCTCCCAGGGACCCCGTACAGAGTGAGTGATGAGCGAACGCGCCAGGCTAGGAACTGCAGGCTGCTCGTACTTAGAAATGAGGGGAGCAGGTGCAGAGCAAGCTCACTGAGGGCGAGGGGCAAGGGGCGAGGAGGACACAGGACGCAGGGGAGGAGGGAAGTGGGAGCACAATCCTAGAGGAAGAAGGGGAGGAGGAAGGGGCGGGAGGCAGCAGTGGCGAGGTGAGCGTGTGCTCTCCGCACAGGTGGTGAGTGCCTGAGTGTATGTGGAAGGGCACTGCGGTGTTTACAGATAAAGAGCTGCCTGTGTGCAGGTGTAGGGTGGGGCATTATGCCTACTAGGCACACAACCTGCACAGGGGCTGCGTGTGAGTGGTTGTGTGTATCTGACAGTGAGAGTGTGTGTGAGTCCAGACCTTGCCTGACCAGGTGCCAGACTCAAGACATCAGAGAGAATAGAAAGTAAAATCAATGCTTTACTGCCTCAGCCAGAAGAGGCCTGGACGGAGCCTTGGTTGGAACCAATCCTGGTTCCAAAAACAGAGGTTTTTTTTTTTTTTTTTTGCCTCTTGTCACAGGCCTAGGGAAGAGGAGACGCACTGCCTTGCTTCTGGTGCCTGGCACAGGGGGACACAGGTGGCCTGTGCCCCTACTCTAGGTATTGGATAACTGTTGTCTGCTTCTGCCTCCTAGGGCCTGAGAAGGTTTGGTTTGGATGCGAAGAGAGATTCCAGGGCTTAGAGCAGCCCATCCAGGTTCCATGATGCCTGGAAACAGCCATTTCCACACACACCCCCATGCCCCCCCTCCTCCTGCCTCTCCTTCTAGGATTCTTTTTCAGTGGGGCTAGTTCCAGGCTTAGGCGCTCGGTCTTCTCTGGCCATAGCCAGAGAGGAGGGTGGGCAATTTCCCTTCTCTGGCAGACAGGTCATGGGGCCCTGCAGTTTGGTTGGGGCTTGGGAGCAAGCCAGCCACCCAGGGAGACTGTGAAGGTAGCCAGGAAAACAGAGAAGCTCGGAACAGGCGGGGAAGCAGCAGGAGAGAGGATGGGCTGCTAGGGCAGGGAGGGGATGTGAGGAAAGGAGAGAGACAGATGGGAAAACAGGAGAGGAGATGAGAAGGCTGCAGCCCGCAGGGGGTGGGGAGTGGAAGAGCTCTGCGCTGCCGGTTGGTGTGCTCCATGCCTGAGCCTGCTCCCAGCTCGTCATTGGAGGGAAATGGTGGCTGCTCCCTGCAGATCTGGGAAGGAGGCCGGAGGCCTGGAGGACATGGCAGCAGAAAGGAAAGAGGGGAGATCACTGAGGAACTTTCCTACCTTTGGATCTGTGGGAGAGGAAAGGGAAAAAGCAGTAGCTTCAGTTATTTGGTTCTGTAGCGAGAAACCGTATTTTCCCTGGGGCTGGTTTTGTACCTCTCACCCCCACCCCTCCAGGCTCTTCAGACTTGGTCACTTGCCTGATGTCATTCCTCATTCATTCCCTCACTCACAGAAATAGACTGAAAGTCAAAACAAAGTTCCTTTGTGCATCCCTGTTTGATAAAGAGCTGGCTGAGTGCTCCAGGGCAGTTGTCAGCCCTCCCAAACTCCATGACACGAAAGGAAACACTCTGCAGTGGCAAATCCTGACTCCCAAGCTTCTATCTCAAGCAGACTCCACCTAGCCTCCCTATTGACCCCCAACCCCAAATCCCACTTATGTCAGCCTACACTTCTGCCTAGTCCCCCTGGACAGGAGAAGGCGGTGCTTATGACCTTCTGGTCCCAGTTCTCAGACTTTGTCTCCTACCACTTGGAAATCTCTCTTGATCCTATCCTGTGTTGCTTTCCTACAGGAAGTCCACTTAGGTTGGGCCATTTTGCTTACAGAGCTGTGGGTCCAGTGGGCTCATTTTGTAGTAACCAAACTGAGTGGTTCTGGGTGTTCTGAAGTGTTGCATCTGTAGGAATCACCTACTTAATAAGATTTCTATTTCCGGAGCATTAGGATGGTCTTTTGTTCTCTTTTTCGGGGGGGACCAATGGCATAGCTGCCACGAGCTGAGTTCTGGGCTCCAGATCCAAACACACATCCATGGCCTCCCCCTAAGCATGATCTCTAACTTCCCTGGGCCTCATGTCTACTCTTGGGCAAGCACCTGTCTATTTTACTCCTGAGATTAAAAATATAATGAGATGAAAAATGTGTGAGCATGTTTCTTAAACTGTAAAGTGTTCTATAAAATATGAGGGTTTGTTTTCATTTTGGAACCTTTTACCACCTGCACACAAACGTACTCTTGGATGCAGGAAATCTGGCTGAGTGGTTGTCCCTGCCTTCACCACTACCCTCTCAGCTACGGTGCCTACCTGGCTCCATCTTTGTGGGGCCAGTCCAGGCAGTGACAAGAGCAACAGCTGTGGTTCCACAGGTGTTTTTTTTAATCTTACTTTGATCTAACTTTCAATCTCTCCTTCTCTCCTAGGGATGTACACACACGTAACCCCTTCAGGGTGTCAAGGGATAAAACTGCTCCCTCTGGCTAAGCTTGGTTCCCAGCGTGGAAATGGGCACTGAGTAGGTCCAGCGCATGGGTCATGAATGGACACAAAAGTTTCCCTCACCTGCAGGGTACAGGTAGACTGTGACATGAAAGCACCATGCACTGGTCCCTGACCTCCACCCCTGGACTCATAATGGCATATTAATTCATTTCTACTTGGTTG